TATTTTAGTTCTCATTTGTAAGTTGTAAAGTAGAATTAGGAATTAGGAATTAGGATGTTGAAAAGAAGGATGTTGAAGCGAAGAAAAAGGAATTTTGACTGTCCAGGAGCAAATACCCGACCGGGTAGAAAACTTCACCCGGTCGGGTCTGATTTGAAAACCGAACTGCTGAGGAAAGAGCTGGACCCGGTCGGGCCCCATACCTCACCCGGTCGGGTGAGAAGTGACCGGGGACAACCCGGTGTGCGAAGATCACCAGAACGTGGTGAATTATCTGATTTTGACCGGACCCGGTCGGGTAAATACTTGACCCGGTCGGATACCCGGCCAAAGGTGTTGAAAAACACCTATAAATAGCACTTTTTTCTTCTCTAAAAATCATCCCTTCTTCCATACTCCTAAGCTCAGTTTAGAATAGCATTTCTTATATTTTTATAGCATGTTTAGTCTCCAAATGAGGAGCTAAACTTCCATTTCTTGGTGTTGCTCTTGAAGCTTGTTGATTATTAAAGTTGTGAGTTATTTTCTTAACTTCTTTCCTTGAATATTAATTAATAGTTCTTTCCTTAATACCATCTCTATATTAATGTTGGGGAGTGTTGCTAAGATGACAATTAGTTAACATCTTGACATTAGTTAGAGTAGTATTATCTTCCTCTATATTAATGTTGGGGAGTGTTGCTAAGATGACAATTAGTTAACATCTTGATATTAATTATAGTAGGATTCATCTTCTTTAATAATATTCTTCCTTGAATATTAATTAATTCCTATTCATATTTCATATTAATATTTTGAACATTACTTAAAGGATCAACTAGTTTTGTTTCATATATTATTACTAGAAATGATCAACGAACCGATGGTTAATCGTTGATGGTTTCACGAGTAAGTAACTTCGATTTATCAATGCACGGTCGTGGTTTATCATTAACCGATGGTTAATCGTTGAGGTTATCAATCTCAATTGATTTCATCAAGGAGTTAAAAGATTAAAAGCTACTATCAAGTCGGTATATGGCGGTGTTCTATACTTGACTAATAGTAAGGGTTATTAATGAACGGTCGTTGTTAATAACTACCCTCGATGAATTGGATATACTCCGCGATTGAGTATTCGAGAGGAAATAAGTTATAGATATAACAAGGATCGACTAAAATATATCAACAAGTGGAAAGTAGCAATGTCAAGTCCTTTTTATCTTTGAAATAAATCTCATATAAGTCGTTCATCTTAGTTTTTAATTAAATTAAATCACTCAATCCAAATCCCCCCTTTTATTTACTAAGTTTCATAAAAAGAGAATTATTCCTTTCTCTGTGGATACGAACCTTACTTCACTATACTACGTATTAGTGTTGTATTGATAAATTATTTTGAGTACACCTCACGACAAGTGCACGTCAGTAGGGTTTTGGGCGAAAGGATAGGAGACGATATGATTCAAGAAGCCGAAGCCCATTTGATGCGGAACCGTTCCACCGCAGCAATAGTAGAAAATAAATTACGTATTTGCTACGATTACACTCCACCCGCATGAAATAACCTAAAAGTTTGATGTATTTGCTGCGGTTCTTAAGAATCGCAGCAAATACCTCGAAAATTTAAGCTATTTGCTGCGGTTTTAACTATGACCGCAGCAAATATGGAGCAGCAAATAAAGAGAAATCTAGTAGTTTTAGGTTTCACTTTTTTATTCAGAAAATAAATTCAAAGTGATGTGAATTTTGTAGATTTTCAAGATTTGATTCAATACATAACAAGATCTGCATTCCGAGTGTTCTAAGGACGAAGAAAATCAAACATGGAACCTGGGAATTAGTAAATTGCTCAAAGTGTTCTATTTCAAATGTAACCATGATTGCATTATAATGACTTGACTTGGATTGTAAAAGACTTGACTTGGATTTATATTTTATCAACAAATTCAATATTAGTACTTGATATTATATTGGTTGAGTATATATGTTTTGCACCATATAAAAAAGAATGGTGTTGTTATGAAAAATACATAGAATGATGTTTTTATTTTTTATTGCAAATTATAATTTTATTTTGGATATGTGGTGTTTGTGTTTGTAAATATCAAGTAATTATTACTCCTTCACATAATAGGACAATAGCAATGGTATATTAACTGTTGCAATAGCAAAAAGTTATGTAAAACTATTACACGTCTATACTAACGGTAAATGTAATTACTAACGGTCATTGGTTTGTTGGTACAAGTTTATAAGCTATTCCCATGGGTAAGAAATATGTTGGTGTTGGTCTATACCGACGGAACGTATACCGACGATAAAGTTTCTATGGGAATAGCTAGTATTTCCGTTGGTATAGCTAACTAATATCTATACCAACGGTTTTTTATCTATACCAACAATTTTATTACCATTGGTAAAAGGCAGTTTGTTTGTAGTGTAATCGGGTTGGTACATTACAACGAGCTGGGGAAACTCGTCGAAGCTCGCATTTCAGTTCTGTTGCAGTTAGATTAGGATGTTTGCTGCAACTTGTTCTGTTTTAGAAGATGTTCAAAAGAATGGCAATAACTTTTCTACCCGTGGAGATGCAGCTGGAGCACTTAAGAAGATTAAATCTTTTAATTTTGTTTTCTTATTGCATCTTATTAAAGAAATTATGGGCATTAGAGATCTTCAAGCACCAAAATGTTGATCCAAAAGTTAAGGGAGGGCGGATGGGATAACTTCTTAGAAATTGTTAAAGAGTTTTGCAAAAAGCATGAGATTGAAGTTCCTAATATGAAGTCTCCTTATGTGGTAAAACGCAAACGCCATGATGAAGAAGGGTTTGATATTGAACGTCACTATCGGGTTGATATGTTTTACGCAGCCATAGATTCATAGCTGTTGGAGCTGAATAGCAGATTCAGTGAACAGATAATGGATCTTCTTATTCTTAGCGGTGCTTTGGATCCTAAGGACTCGTATAAGTCCTTTAACATTGATGATATTTGTTGTTTAGTGGATAAATATTACCCCTTTGTTTTTATTGAGCAGGAGAAGGTGGGCTTGAGGTTTCAATTGCAACATTATAAGCTCAATGTTCTAAACCATCCAAAGTTGGCGTATTTGTCTACAATGGCTGAACTTTGTCGAGGATTAGCAGAGACAGAGATGTCAAAAGTGTACTTTCCTATTTATAGGTTGACCCGACTTTCGTTGACTCTACCGATTTCGACAACAACAACAGAAAGGGCTTTTTCAGCAATGAAAATTATAAAAACAAGGTTTCACAATAAAATGGAGGTTGAGTATCTTGCAGACAACCTTGTTGTTTATATTAAAAGAGAAATTGCTAAAACTTTTGACTCAAAAGCCGTGATTGTGAAATTTATCTCGTTGAAGGAGTGTCGAGCACAATTCTAAGGTACTATCTTTACCACTACGTATTTTGTAATAGTATATTTGTCTCTTTTTCTACTCTTTGTCTACCGTGTACTATTTTAATGCTTCACTTTATTACTATTATATAAATGTTATAACTTATAATAATGAGTGCCGATTTTTTTTATATTAATGAATTTCATGGGTCCACCCCTGCTGCCGCCGCCTCCCCTTCCCTCTTATGTCCCTGCCTCATATTGAATGGCATAGAATAGCTGGATCTGCATGTATTCGGCATTGGACAACCATGCAAAGCCAAAACCTGAGCGAGAAGCTTCCTCATAAAGAATACAAGAAACTTGATACTGCTCCGTCCCAAATTATTTTGCAAAGTCAATATTTTTTGGTCAACCAATAATAAAAGTCAACCCTCCCTATGAATAATTAACTCAATTTTTAATCAAAATGGCAAACTCCAAATTAAAATATAATTAAAAATTGACATCCTAATTAAGCAAATAAAATGAAACTGTTTGATCAAGAAAAGTCAAATTTGGAAATCAATTTGGGACGGAGGTAGTATATATTTCTTTCTAGTGCGAATTTGAAAATGTATCACGGCATCACGCCGTAATACGCATCGCAGCGGCCGCATTAACGGCAACCCCAAGTGCAACCACGACCCAATTTAAAATCTAGCGCCTGCCCATCTTCTGTAGCGAGCTCGTATGGCCTGCTTTCAAAATGTGCACATATATGCATGTTTGAAATTTGAAAAGAGTACGTTTAGGTAGCTAGGCAAGTGCGTGCGTGGAAATGAAAGATCTGTTGTCAAAGCTTAGGAAAAAACATACGTAGCTCTCTAATGGAATTGTTGCTTAGAAGTTAGAAGGAAAAATAAATACGTAGCTTTTGTGCTCAAAGCATCATACCATTCTTTCCATCACACACCCACGTAGGTAACCACCCACTAAGGCACTCACCCACTACACACCCACAAAACTAATTGATGTAATACTACACATACGTATTACAGTTTAAAGCAATTAATTTGTGATTCTGCACATTTCTCTCTTCTCTGCACAAATTTCAACCACACAGTTTTTACTATTCTTATTTCTCATCTACTTTGCACTTGGCAAAGTCCACCGGGATGAAGGTTGTACTATAAACTGTAACACCCCGACCCCTTAGGACCCGAGCTAGTTATTCCAGATCTCTAGTACTGTCCTCACAAACCACCATGAGTCATTACCGCACATTTTGTCATCACTCATGCGCGCTCTTAGAAACTTCCTAGAGGGTCATCCATCCCAAGACTACTCATATTCAAGCATGCTTAACTTGATGTTCGTAGGTGATGAGTTCTCTTAAAAGGAGATGTACCTCTACTTGTATGAGTTGTACTATTAATCCCTTTAAATTAATCTCATCTGTTACAATCACCCCTTTAAAATAAACTAAAATAAACATAATGAAATTCTAAACAACTAGATTTAACACTAATAACAATATTTGTTCCAACAAGATTGAATTCTTTTCAAGTATGATTCTTTCTTTCTTTACGTCCAAGAGAGAAACGTACCCGTCTATAGCTAAGCTATCAGCTTATATATTTAACGTACGTACGTACACTACCGATGGATTAATTAGGAAAACATATCAATTATGATACGGAGTATTATTATATATATATGAGTGATTCGTAACAGACGGCCGGAGCAGATCGAGTTGAGACTTCAATTCTAAAATATATAAAGACGGATGGGATCGATGGCGGCGAGGCAGCGGCGGCACGGTGGCCTGCTGGCGACGATCCTGTGGGTGTGGTGGTGGGTAGTGGTCCACGGCATGCCGCCAGAGAACCCCCTGGAGTGTAACGCGACGGGATGCTGGATCCGCAATACGTACGGGGTTTGGGGGGACAGAAAGGATGAGTGCGTATCGGCGAGAGCGGTGTTCCCGGAGACGGAGGAGGAGCTGCGGGCGGCGGTGGCGGATGCCAACAAGAACAAGGAGAAGATAAAGGTGGTCACCAAGTTTTCACATACTATACCTAAGTGGGCGTGCCCCGCCGCATCTGGACCTACCCTATTCATTAGCACCCAAAGGTACACACATGTCCGGCCCTAACGACCAAAACAAATTATGAAGAGTAAATTAGGTAGTCTTCCTAATTAATAATATTTTTCAAAAATTTAATTTATAATTCATCGATTAACTAAAATGTAGTCCATGTAGAGTATGCGAATAGTGAAAAATTCACCAATGTTGCAACTAAATAAGAACAAAAATAGTATATACTATGTATTAAAGTTATCACTATGTACCAGAGTAAAACTGGAGTAAATTAGGTAATCTTCCTATTATGCCCCTCTTCCCCAATTGTATATGTTTCTGCTTTACTATTCTAGATTGTCTTTTCTCTGCTCCCTCACCCCTCTCCACTCCAATCTCCCCACTCACATCTATATCATCCATAAATCCATATCTCTTACCTTCATTTTCATCTCTCTACTATAATAACTTCAGTTTTATTCTATCGATCTCAATTTCCTTCATCTCTGGTGATTTTTAGAGGTATGTACGATGAATCACGAAAATGATTTTCAGACTATTTAGGCAGTATTCTGTTATTATTTTGTTGTTTTAGCATTACTAAACATTCAACAGATATATAAAGCACCCAACTAAAATCAAATCAACTAGCCAAGAGAAATAATGAAAAAATGAACTTCTTACCTGATCTCGTAAAAGAAAGCATATACTAGAACTAATTAAGTACATACTCTCAAAGCTACCCAAATTAAAATAACTAAGAAATCCAAAAAACTTAAAACTAAAACTAAAATGAATGCAATTGACATGTTTTAGATTTCATTTTACTAACAATGGTTAGGCTTTTTTTTATTTATTTATTAACATTTAAATGGGGAGTTATGTACTTAACACATAAGTATACGAATGATACAATGATATGTTCCACAGAAATATAAAACAGCCAGTTAAAAATCAAATCAATTGGCCAAGAGAAACAATGAAAGTTCATATCAGATGAGGGTATAACTTGCGAAAATCAACCATCTTTGCTAAGAAATTACACTTGACGTTGATTTGTTGAGCATCAATCTTGATATGAATGAAAAAATTGAGAAATTGGAAATTAATCATCTTTGAAATTAAAGAATCAATCTCTCTTAGATCGGAAATTGTCTAAATTCAAATAATCACTTGTGGACCGAAATGAGCGACTTTGATATATTTAATTTAGAGAGTTCTTCCCAACAATACTCGTACATATCCGAGATCCTAATTAATGGTAATGATTATATGATTAATTGGAAATTAATCATCTTTGAAATTAAAGAATCAATCTCTCTTAGACTGGAAATTGTCTAAATTCAAATAATCACTTGTGGACAGAAATGAGCAGCTTTGAGATATTTAATTTAGAGAGTTTTTGCCAAAAATATTCATATATATTAGAGATCGTAATTAATGGTAATGATTATATGAGCACGTGATATTGTTTTGATCTTATAATGGATGACTCCGTATTATTATTAATTGTCATATACTATCTCCGTTACATTCTTTAAAAGTTGTAATGTTTCACTTTCACGTTTTGTCAATGTATAACTTTGACTATAATTATATTAGTATTTAATTACATATTAGTAAACATTAAAAAAATATTTTGAAAATTTGCATTAATTGAAATTTAATACGGAGTAACATTTTATGCATAATAGTTGATTATATATATATTACTAGAAAATCGTAATCAAAGTAAGTTGTGTGAATAGTGCAAAAATTTCAATGTTGCAACTTTTAAATGACGGGAGAAGTATATACTTTGTGTGTGTGCACAATGTAACATGTATACATGCATGTATGGATGGACCGGCTGAAAGGTACAACTCAAGCATCGAAGTGGACATGGAAAAGGGGGCAGTGACGGCGGATGCGGGGGTGGGGCTGAGGGCAGTAATCGAGAGGGTGGAAGAGGAGGGGCTGAGCCTGGTGGCGTCGCCGTATTGGGAGGGCGTGAGCGTTGGCGGGGCGATAAGCACGGGGGCTCACGGCAGCTCATGGTGGGGGAAGGGCGGAGCACTTCACGACCACGTGATTGGGATGAGCGTTGTAGTCCCCGCTGAGGAGTCGGAGGGGTATGCAAAAGTGTTAAGGCTGAAGGCGGACGAGCCTCTCCTCAACGCTGCCAAACTCTCCTTAGGATTGCTTGGCGTTATTTCCAAGGTCAGCTCCCATCCCTTTTTACATTCTAACCATCCTCTATTCACTTTCCTTTATCGTATTAATGACATGTATATCTAAGATCAAAGAACATCATACAATAAATGAGAATTATCATTTCATGTAAACTTACTTAGAGAGTATTCAATTATTCAATGTTCATTTGGAAAAGATTTGAAAAATATGGTGTCATTGTTGCTCTAATAATTAGATGTGTAACTCTTATACGATAAATGATACAAGTATATAATTTAGAGAGTTGTGATTTTTACTCTCCTTCTTATGGTGTATGGAGTTTGTGTGAATGTGTGTGTTTCACGTATATTTGATGGAATATATTCCCGTATACCCTAGGGGTACCACGATCGCCGGTAGAGAGCCTTGCGGGTTCATCAGAGGCAAGAATATACTAAGTCCACATCTGGATCTGACCCAGACCCCGACCGCCGAGGTCGGAAACATCAAGCTTAGGAATCAAGTAAACTCAGTAGATAACGGAGTCAACCGACCCCGACCCCGACCCCGAGGTCGGGAAAACATCGAGCTCGGGAGTCAACCAAACTCGACGAGTTATGAGCCCGACCTCGAGACATCTGAGGTCGGCACCAGGTCTGACCTCAGAAGTCTTACTCCAGATCAACGTCAATCGAAGCACCAGGCAGTCAAACCACCTCCAAAGCAAGAACAGAAGACAGCAGGACGAGTCCTCTCAACATAGGCCCGAGCTCCCAGATATCGACCTCGGTAACCTTCGAGGTCGGGAGAAAAGCACCCTGTACTTAGGCAAAATCCGCAAGGACTTGATTCATGAGGAAACATCGCCACATCACCCTCCACACTGATGGAATATACCGGATTATCTGCACACGGCTACACAAAATCCTTGGCAGGAATTCTGTTAGAAGAATAATCAATCAACCAGCTATCAAAAGCTCTCTCTCCAAGCAACTTTACACGTGGCTGCTCCTGATTCATTTAGTCTGGTAGTCTGTTAGAGTAGCTTTACATGTGCCCCTCTCCCATTAGACTAACATCTTTTGCTTGGCCATCAAGTATTTCCCTTTTTCCTTAGTATAAATACCACATTCCGGCTTGTGGAAGGGGGCTGAATACTGAATCTTCCGCACTCTTGAGATTGATACTCTGAGATTTTGCTGAATCGAATACCTGACTCTTCCGTCCAGTTCACTCTCTTCTTCCTACTTCCATTCTCGGTGGATTCCGGCCACCCCTGGTCCGACGATCCATCAATATTAATATTGGAAATGATCAATAGTCATATCCTTTCTTATTTTGTCCTGAAGTGTATTACCAGTTTACCACAATGGTACCCTTGCATATTATTTCAATCAAATAATGGGCACACACACATATAATAGATCGAATACAAACTTCTCTTAAATTACAAACTACAAACTCATCTTAACTATCTAATGGAGTTAATCTAAGACTATAAATGCAAGATGACATTTTGGTAAAAAAAAACAAATTTTTTTCAGATGCATTATCACTCTGAACATTAATATGCAACAACTTATTTCTTTGCAGAATAAAATGCAACACTTTGAACATTAATATGCAATACAAATAATGTAAAGATGCATTGTACACATATTTACTCAATAAACACTGTTTTTACTTGATCTACCCCTATATAAGGGATCAACTTATTTCCGTACGAATGTTCTATACACATGCTAGTTGCCTCCCTCAGTCAACTAATGCTCACCAATGTGCTCCTGGCGATCCCAATGTGAATTAATGGAATAGGTTACCCTAATGAGGGTCCTGACAAATATATTTATAATAATAATAGCTTCCAAAATACATAAGGATTCCTAATACAAATCAACTACTACACCCCTTCAAACAGTGCGGGAAATGCAACGCGCAGGTTGTCATTTAAAAAATGAAATTGGTGACTAAATAACTTTTGGTAAATATACCAACCAACTGTAACTGAGTAGGAATGTATTTCATAATCAAATCTCCATGAACCACACATTCGCGAATAAAGTGGTAAGCAACTGAATATGCTTGCTTCGGGCGTGCTAAACTGGATTAGCAATCAAGTAAGACGCATAGATATTATCACAAAAAACCAGAACATGAGCTCTCACTAAAAAATCAAGTTCATAAAGGACAGAGCAGATATCCAACGTGTCTTGGACAATGTAGGTAACAACTCTATATTCTGCTTTTGTGGAGGATTTGAAAACTATAGGTTGCTTTTTGGACTTCCAAAAGACAAGATTCGGCCCCAAACATACAACAAACCCGGTGATGGAACGAGAGGTGTTTGGGTAGCCAGCCCAATAAACATCGGAGTAGGCAATGACACATGTAGCCTATGTAGTGGGGCAAAGCCACAAACCATGATCAAGTGTTCCCTCCAAATATATGAAAAACCTCTTGACTGAAAACAAGTGAGTAGTGCAAGGAGCATGCATAAATTGAGATACTAAATGCACAACACAAGTAATATCAGATATTGTCAAAGTTAAATACTATAATGCACCGACCATACTACGATACTCGGTGGCATCCACAAGAAGTTCCTCATCAGTGAGACACAATGTAGTACATGTGGCGAGAGGAGTACAGACAGATTTAAGGGTGGGAAAATGAAAACGAGAAAGGAGATACACATATTTATGTTGAGAGAGAAACAAACCTTTACATGTACGAATAGCTTGGACTCCATGAAAATAATGTAGATCGCCTAGATCTTTCATGGAAAAACGCCGAGCAATAAGATCAATAAAGGAGGTGACAACAGAGGATGAATTGCCGGTAATAATAATGTCATCCACATATAATAGAAAATAAACTGCACAGTTATTCTAGCAGTAATTAAACAAAGAGTTATAAGATTTACTGCAACAAAAATTTTGACTCAGTAAAATACTACTAAAGTGATGAAACCAAGCCCGTCGAGCTTGTTTGAGACCCCTTATGCAGAAGACACAAGCGATTAGGAAATTTAGGATGAACAAAACCCCTATGGTTGGCACATATAAACCTCCTCAATGAGATGTCCATGAAGAAATGTGTTTGACATCTAACTGACGTATAACCCACCCAAAAGAAATATTCATAGTAACAAAAACACGAATTGTGGTGGGTTCAATAATCGGACTAGAAGTCTCAGAGAAATCTATACCAGACTGTTGATTAAACCCTGAGCAACCAATCATGCTTTATAGCGTTCAATAGTCAATAGACTCATTAGAAAGAAATTTTGTCTTATAAACCCACTTAGAGCCTATAACATTTTTAGAGTTATTAAACAACACCAAATTAAATCCCATGTATGATTAGTAATAAGAACATTAAATTCCTCGATCAGCCATTGCCTCATGCCATTTCAGTCGTTTATTAGCCTCATTAAACAAGTAGGATCAATTAATGTAACAACAGTATTTAAATTAAAAATGCATTTGGGTTTGAATATATCCAATTTTGACCGAGTTTGAATGGGGCGAGTATTAGGAGGGAAATGGGTAGAGGGCAGGTTTGGTGTTGTGGGTGCTGTGGGCGACGAGACGATGCTGGAAACAGGACTGGGTGCGGTTGTGGCTGATTCGGTTGTGGCTGTTTTGAGTGGCACTAAACTAGACTATAGGGGCGGTTCGGGCGACAGTGGGTTGAGGGACAACAAAGGTGCAAAGTTGAGGGTCTGGAATGGTGGGTCAGTGCTGGGTTCTGTGACGCCCTGGGAGATGGCATCAGGCACCGTAGCAGAGCGTACAGGTGATGGCGGTGCAGGGAGGAGCTTGGATGGGTGGGTATTGATAAGAAAGAATTCAAAGGAGGAAAAAGGAGGGCCGGTGGCATCCAGAGAAGGAGACATTGTGGTAAAAGGAAAAATATTTTCATGAAAACGAAAATGATAACTAATATAAGTTCTAAAGGAGTGAGGTTCAAGAAAAATATAACCTTTATAGCCAGATGCACAATCAAGAACAACACACTGAACAGAGCGAGGAGAAAGTTTATTTGACGATGTAGTAGAAAAAATTGGGTAACAAGCACAACAAAAATAATATATAAAGCTGTAAAAATTGCATCAACCCAAAAGTAGTCAGTAATGGAGGCTGCAATCAACATAGTCCTAGCTAGTTCAAGGAGATGATGGTGTTTGCGTTCAGCAACCCCATTTGTTGAAGGGTATGGGGGCAAGATTTTGGAAAATAAATCTCATGCTTAGAAAACAAATTCAACATATTAAAACTAAAAATTCACCCACTCCATCACTTTGAAAAACTTTAATTTTGGAGTTAAAAAGATGTTTAACTAAAGCTCTAAATGAACGAAAATAGCCAAAAATATCATTTTTAGTGCGCATATGATAAAACCAAGTAAAGCGGGAAAAATCATCAACAAAACATACATAATATTTAAAACCTAAGTTTGAAAGAACATGAGACTACCACACATCAGAATGAATTAATTGCAAAGGTAAGGAAGAACTATGACTAGCATCTGCAAAAGGTAATCGTTGAGATTTGCCCAACCAGCAAGAAATACAGTCATAAGAAGAAAACTTGGAAGAGCTAGAAATAAGTTTTTGAGTACGCAAAAGCTTAAAATGTTTTCGCCACAATGACCTAATCTATGGTGCCACATAAGGCCATGGGTAATAATAGAAGATAAAGCTAAAGGTGGAGGAGGGTTGAGTTTGAGAGGTTAGAGATGCCCAACATGTTGCACCCAAAGAAGAACCTTCCCCGAGATTTTGTCCTTAACAAGCAACGATTTTTTGTAAAAAGTAGCAACACAGTTGTTATCAGCACACAATTCTGCACAAAACACAACGACGTGCTCCATATTTTTAATGGGAAAACTTCACCTTCTGCATGATTTCATCAAATATTTCTTCCATGCCAAATTGTTGGGCTTGAATAGAACAAAAGATGTCATTCCTTAGTCTATATAAAGCCCTCAATTCATCATTCAAATACATTCCATTCCATAGATTAATTTCTAGCTTATATATTTTGTTCTTCATATTTTTCTTCAAGTTTTTCCATCATTTGCAATGGAGCCAAAGATTCATTATTTTTTGGCTTGAGATTATGATGGAATAAAGCAAAATGACTCACTAAACTGTCTGCGCTTCTTTGTTATGGAGAAGCAGTCAGTCCATGCAATTTTGGACGCGTTTTTCACTATGGGTCATCCGGAAACAGTCTCTCTGTGCTTTAGTACAGGGGTAAGACTGCGTACATCCGACTCCCCCTTACCCCACCGTAGGTGGGGGAGCCTTTGCGGCACTGGGGTAAATGAAAATGATGATTTTTCTTCAAGTTCTTGAGGAGGGAAGTTCATCCTCCGAAATCATTGGTGTTTAGGTATTATTTCTTTTGTAATTTCATGTTCCATTTCATTTCATTATTGTATTGTGATTAATATGAGCATTAGAGGCTAAATTCTTAGCTAAGGCTAGGGATGAACTTATATGCCCACTAGGTGTTTGATAAAAGTTCTAAACCAATAAATTGTGATTTATCCTTTATATATTGATTGTTTATGACTATGGTGTACAACATAGAAGTATGTTAAATTTAGTTTATACTTGCAATTAACATTGAAGTCTAAACTATGAACATTAAAGGATAAACATATATAGTACCGAGAATAGAAATATATCCGGTCTTATATGATACGGATGTGATGTCTTGATATTCAACGAGGTTTTCGGTAGATGAATGTAAGCCGTAACGGGACTTACACGTAACGAAAATCATGTTCTCGCTGCCTTAACCGTAGTTGAGAATATATTAGCGACATCGTATTCATAATTATTGGTAAAGAATTCATATTCAACCCTATTAAAGCATTTAAGTGATTCCCGAAGCCTTAGTTGTTGTTATCATTCATCTTAAACTCAAATTTAGTTAACAATTATCTTCTTGAACAAAAAGTGAAAAGCCAAAAATATAAAACACAAATCAAAATCCCTATACTTTACTCATTTATTTATTTAAAGTCATCTACTCTCGGACTAAACTAAACAACGTTTCCTTGTGGATTCGACCCGGTATTTTACTGGAATTTATTACTATATCGGCACTTGTACACTTGCAAGTTTAGCCCGGTCATTAACGTAATACCCGAGGAAAGTTCAAAAGTATTACTAGTGCTTCTCATATCAATAAGGTGCATCTTATTTTAAGAGAGCAAATTTGCTAAGAAATGTGCATTCAAGTGTGCTTTTATGGGAATAGTTAATTATCAGTGACCGCTTGAGAAGATTATTAGAGTTCGCATAAGTAAGGACAAAGTGTCACACCCGGCAAAAAGATTTATGAGTTTATATGAATGTCGGAGCTCGTGATGGAGGACTCTGTAGTTTGATAAATACTACGTATATATGATAGAGTATATTAGTGAAATATGTTAAAATTGGGTTGATGTGGGTAGCATTTTTATCAAGTTTTAAGATTCAATCTGATTCTACGATTGTGAAGGCCTGCCATGCCTCACTCTATTTTTGTTTAGAAATAGCACCCAAAGTTAATTTTAGTGAAAAAAGTTCAATGTTGCATTTAAAAAAGAATGGAGAGAGTAATTAATGTGCGTGAGTGCAGGTAACATTGTCACTAGAGCCAGCATTCAAACGAAGCATAACATACAATTTCACAACGGATAGCGGGCTTGAGAATGAATACATGATGCATGCAAAGAAGCACGAATTTGCAGACCTTCAATGGTATCCTTCCCAAAGCACTGCAGTTTATAGATACGATGATAGAGTTCCTCTACACACTCCTGGAGACGGTGTCTATGATTTCATTGGCTTTCGTTCCAATTTTATTCCACTCACCAATATCATTCGAGCCACAGGTACGTACCTACCCTACTATCTACCTCGTACATCGTGCTACCTTTATTGCTACTTTAACTAATTAATTAATTGCGTTATTTTTATTTCGAAATTTAGTATAGTATGTGATTCCTTATCTAGGAGTAAAACATAACAAAAGTAGTGCAAAAGTAGGAGTTCAATGATCCATGTAGTTTCATAGGATCAAGTAAAAACGAATGAGTTGAGGATAAAAGTACCCTTAATGAATACTGTAATTTTTTTATTAAAAATACATCAATATATTATAAGCGGTACAAAAAAATGAATTGTTCGTTTCCCTGACACCCACCCCACCCACAAGTTGGTGCCCGCATCACCACCCAACACTTGCACCAACCGTCGCTATTCACCGCCGCCCGCCATTGCCGGTCATCATCAGACGCCGTTGAACCTGCAATCTCCATCGATATCACCGCCTCCAGCGGTGTCACAATTGCTAGGTGCCTCCGCTGTTACTATCGGTTGTCGGTGCCACCATCTACTTCACCGGCGCCCTGTTGAATCTCGGGCCACTGCTTTCTCATTTGGCACTACATCTCTTGTAGCACCATCACCACGACCTTTAACTCCACGACCTTTGGCTCCACCACCTCATATGAAAATTTGTTTTAAAATGTCATATGACTATTTGAATACCATTTTTAATGATATTTTTATAAAAATAGCGGATAAGAATTTTGTGCCATTTTGACATTTTCATGGCAATATAAATATTGGATTTACAAGGAAACAACATTGTCATCTCTACGGAGTTAGTGCCCTAAATATGGCACTATGTGCATAAATAACATTTCTTATATATGAAAAAACATGGCATTATTAGTATTGTTTTTTCCATCTAGAAGGAGTTAGTGTGAGAATAATAAACAGACTTACCCAGACTGGTAGCCCTAACAATATATTTATAATGAACAAGTCTCCAAATACAATTAGGATATTGTCCAATAATTAATACTAATTAAGTCTACACTATTACACGCCCTCAATCTATGCAGGAGGAACTATGCATATATAGAATGTCTCATAAAAATAAAAACTGCTGAGGAGCTAAATTCTTGATAAAAATATCAGCTGACTTAAACTTCGTAGGAACATATTGCACCAGGAGGTCACCATGAGCCACACGCTCTCGAGCAAAGTGATAATCAATATCAATGTGCTTACTGCGAGCATGTTGAATGTGATTAGTAGATAAATATGAGGCAGAGATATTATTACATAGGAGCCGAACCGGTCGATGAATAGGAAAGCCAAGCTAAAACAGAATTGACCGGATGTGTAAAGTATCCTGGACCGTATATGCAATGGCTCGATACTCAGCTTCAGTAGAGGATCTGGAGACAGTGGGTTGCTTCTTCGAACGCCAAGAGATCAGGTTAGGACCCAGAAAAACAGCATAGCCAGAAGTAGAGCGGCTACTATCAGGACAACCGGCCCAATCGACATCAGAGTACGCAAGAACAGAATGGGGATGTGTTGAAGGCTGTAGATGAAGTCCATGCGTGAGACTGAACTGCAGGTACTTGAAAATTCTACTCACAGCCAACATATGTGAAGTACGAGGAACATGCATAAATTGAGACACCAAGTGAACAACATATGTAATATCAGGTCTAGTCATAGTCAAATACTGCAATGCACCTACTATGCTACGGTACTCTGCAGGATCAGCAAGTAACTCACCATCAGTGAGAGACAATTTAGTTCTATTAGGGAGTAGCGTGCGAACAGATTTAAGAGTGTGAAGATGAAAACGGGTGAGAAAGTCTGACACATATTTTGCTTGAGATAAAAATAAACCAGAAGAATTCCGCACACCCTGAACCCCCAAGAAAAAATGAATATCACCTAGATCTTTCATTGCAAAATATTTCCCTAAAAGAGAAATAAAATGACTAATGAGAGAGGAGGAATTCCCAGTAACAATGAAATCATCCACATATAATAGCAAATAAATAATGCAAGTGCCATGATGGAAAATAAATAGAGAATTATCAGAATGATTGCATACAAAACCATGTGTTAAGAGAAAACTACTGAAACGATAAAACCAGGCCTGGGGAACTTGTTTAAGACCATAGATGGCCTTGCCCAAGCGACAAATGCCATGAGAAAAGTGTGGATGAATAAAACCGGGTGGTTGACGCATATAGACATCCTCTGTCAAATTACCATGAAGAAACACATTTTTTACATCCATTTGACGAATAAGCCAACTATAGGAAACAACTAAGGTAAGAACAATTCGAACAGTGGTGGTTTTAACAAAAGGACTAAAAGTTTTAGAAAAATCAATCCCAACCTGCTTCTTAAACCCCTGAGCAACCAGACGTGCGTTAGGTCGTTCAATAGAGCCATCAGACCGATTAAGTTTTATAAATCCATTTAGACCCAACCACATTTTTACCATAATCAAACGGCACCAATTCCCACGTTTTATTAGCAATAAATGCATTAAATTCCTTAGCCATAACAACTCTCCCTTTAAGATCTTTATTAGCCACAGAAAAACAGGTAGGATCAGGAATTAAAACCTGAGTATTTAAATTAAAAACCGTTTTGGGTTTAAAATTCCTGATTTGGAACGAGTTTGCATGGGATGAATATTATGTGCTAAAGAATTCATGGAAACCAGTGTGTCACTGACATCATCACGCTCAGAGCCCGGGAGTCTGTCGATGCCGAGCTGAATGGCGACGCAGGAGAGAACACAACCCACTGGCGTCAAGATGGGGCTGGAGTTCACCGGTGAAGCAGTCTGCTGGACCGAGGAGGTACCTGTAGGCCGAGAGCTGCTCGACGATGTGGATGGGCCGGTGGGTGGTGGAGACGGCATCAGAGGCAGCGACGGTCCAGTAGGCGGTGAAGTCAATGGAGATGACAGAGAAAAAGACAAAGGACATGGTTGCAAGGTTGGTGACTCAGGAGAATTATGGGATATTAACTAAGTATATGGGAAAATATTTTCATGGAAATTGACATGACGACTAACATAGATTCTACCCGTTTTTGGATCAAGACACTTGTACCCTTATATTCAGACGCATAGCCTAAAAAGACACACTGTAAAGAACGAGGAGAAAGTTTATTTGCAAAAGTGGCAGAAAAATTGGGGTATCAAGCACATCCAAACACACGCATAAAAGAGAAGTCAGGAGACCGGTGAAATAATATTTGGCATGGAGAAAAACCAGTAAATTTGGTAGAGGGTAAACGATTAATAATATAAGAAGCAGTCAAAACAACCTCAACCCAAATGATAGCTGGTATAGGGGTGGGCAAAAATACCGAGCCGGTATGATACCGAACCAAACCGGTATGGTACCGGACCGAAAAACGGGGTTTGGAACGGATCTCAATTTTTTTTGTCCCGAACCGGACCAGACCGATTCTAAACAATGCCATGACCGGTTCTCATAAAATAAGAACCGGTACCAGACCGAACCGGACTGAAGTATGGTTTAATTATTTAAATTTATATTTATACCATTACTTTGACTAGTGCTTTCACACTTTAACTGCCTTTGTTGGTTCATAGGAAGCCTGGAACAGGACCGCAATGTGGTTTAATTATTTAAATTTCTACTACTATTGTTTATCTTAAATTTATTAATTATGTAATACTACCTTCATCCCAAATTGATTTGCAAAATTAACTCTTCTTGGTCAAACAGTTTCATTTTATTCACTTAAATTAAGATGTCAATTTTTAATTATATTTAATTTGGAGTTTGCAACTTTGAAGAGATTTTAATGTAGTTTTTGAATATGTAAATTTTAATTGTTAAAAATTGAATTAATTAACATTGGTTGACTAAAAAATATAGACTTTGCATATCAATTTGGGACGAAGGGAGTATGAAAATTGATAAATTGTCTGAAATTTTGGAGGATGGCTAAACTTTAATTTTCCCTTAAACACTTGGAAAAAGTGACATTGTTTGGTATTGGTATGACATGGTACCCTCCCGTTTGAAAATGGAACCGAACCGAACAAGTTTAGGTCTAAGACCGACCGAACCAAACCGTTTGAATAGTCAAGGTGCGGGTACGGGTTCGGCCAAATATTGGACCGGACCGCACCAACACCTAGCTGGTAAGCCAGCATCTATAAGCATTGTTCTAGCTAGTTCAAGAAGATGGCGATGTTTGCGTTCAGCTAAACCATTTTGTTGCGGGGTGCCCGAGCCTGAAAATAAACTCGCCGAATATGCGGGAAAATATCCTAGCTGAAAATAGCCGACTGGACCCGGCTTACATGGCGTGGGTGGTAGTAGGGAGGTGGTAGGGCAGCATACCCCTGTTGCTGGCCGTAACCCCTACCGCGGCCCTGGTTCCCCCGACCCCACTAGCGACGACGGCCACATTCCCTAGCCTGCTTGAACCTCCTCGGGCCTCGTTCCCATGTCCAGCTAGTGCAACCAGTTGAGCCACAAAAGCCGCAGGTGAAGAGGCAGACTCTTGGAAACGAAGATATAAGTTGCGCTGCTCTTGTTGGACTAACTTCTCACGTAGCTTGTCAAACGTAAGACCCTCCGAGAATGTGGTTAAGGTGGTAACCATGGACTCATAATCAGGACCAAGATCAAGTAAAGTCTGCTCAAGAAGATCTTTCATAGACACAGGGGAATTAATGGAAGCAAGAGCATCTGTCATTTTCTGAATCTCACGCATGTATTGTTTCATAGTTTGATTTTCTCTCTTTTTAGAAGTGGTCAATAGCCATTTTAATTCCATGGAATGAGCCAAACTAGCAGCCATAAAACGGGATTCCAGTCGTTCCCAGATGGTAGCCGAACTTTTCAAGGTATGAACTTCAACAAGTATATCACGAGATAAAGTAGCAAACGGTCATGAACGAACTGTTTGATCTAACTTTAGCATATAATAATACTCATTGTTAACAACTTCTCTTCTATGAGCATCAAAAGTAGTCAAAGGAGGAGCATAAATTGTACCATCAATAATTTCCATTAGT